TAGCAGCAACGAGCCGCTGGAACAGACGAATGAACCACCCAGTACAACAGATGACAGCAGCAGCAGCAGCAGCAGCAGCAACAGCAACAGCAGCAGCAGCAGCAGCGACGACAGCCGCAATGCGCTCAGCAGCACTTGTAGCAAGAGAAACATCAGCAGCAGCAACAGCAGCAGCAGCAGCAGCAACAGCAGCAACATCAGCAGCAGCGACAAGAGCATGAACAAGAGCAGCAGCAGCAGCAGCAGCAGCGGCAGCAGCAGCAGCAGCAGTGGCAGCAGCAGCAGCAGCAGCAGCAGCAGCAGCAGCTATATATCATGTGCTCCCTGGTGCGTCACATTAGTAGTGGAGGCCTTCGACGCCAACAGCACCTGCTGCCCTTGCTGCAGCCCTGCTGCTGCTGCTGCTGCTGCTGCTGCTGCTGTTGCTGCTGGAGAGGAGGAAGGAGGTGCAGCAGCAGCAGCAGCAGATGCTGACGTGCATGCGTGCTGCAGCAGGACCCAGGACAGCAGCAGCAGCAGCAGCAGCAGCAGCGAGCATTCTGCTGCTCGGCGTTCGTGCAGCATCAGCAGCAGCAGCAGCACTTCCTCTGTACCTAGCAGCAGCCGCAGCAGCAGCAGAAACGGCCGCAGCAGCAGCAGCAACAGCAGCAGCAGCAACAGCAGCAGAGAGGGCTCGTTAGGCTGCTGCTGCTGCACGCAGCTGTGGATAGAAGTGTGGGGGTTGAGGGAGAGGCAGGCCCCTCTCTGTCTCCGTCTACGCAGCAGCAGCAGCAGCAGCAGCAACAGCAGCAGCAGCAGCAGCAGCAGCAGCAGCAGCAGCAGCAGTTGTTGGTTTGTGTCTCCTCCAATTCTGCTGCAAAAGAAACACAGACAGCTGCAGTTCCGCCTATTCAGACGCACCCCGCAGCAGCAGCAGCAGCAGCAGCAGCAGCAGCAGCAGCAGCAGCAGCAACAGCAGCAGCAGCAGCAGCAGCAGGTGTGGATAGAAGAGAGAGAGCTGCTGGGGTTGAGGGCCCTTCTGCTGCCGCCGGGGCCCTCCTGTCTCCTTCGCTGCACCTTTGGTCTCTAAACCCTAAACCCTAAACCCTAAACCCTAAACCCTAAACCCTAAACCCTAGGGTGTACTGATGAGCTGTCTCCTCTTTTTGTTTTTTTTCTCTCTCTGTCTCTTCTGTCTCCTTTCTTTTCCTTTTTTTCTTTACTGTCTCCTTTCTTTTTATTTATATTTTTTATATATTTATTTATTTTGTTTTGTTTTTTTGTCTCTTTTTTATTTTGTTTGTCTCCTTTTTTGTTTGTCTCCTTTATAATATATCTTTTTCTCTTTTTTCTTTTTTTCTGTCTCCTTTTTATTTTTTCTTTCTTGTTTATTATTTGTCTCCTTTTTTATTATTTTCTGTCTCCTTTTTATATATCTTTTTAATTGTTTGTTTTTATTTATTTATTTTTTTCTTTTTTATTTGTTTTTGTGTTTAGGCATCCCTGGCTGTAGGGCTTTATCTCCTGCTCCGCCTTCACTGTGGGCCTTTGCTGCTGCTGCTGCTACTGCTGCTGCTGCCGCTGCTGCTGCTGCTGCTGTTGCTGTTGCTGCTGCTGCTGCTGCGGCTGCTGTTGTTGCTGCTGTTGCTGCTGCTGCTGTTGCTGCTGCTGCTGCATCTTTCGCTGCTGCTGTCTCCTCGTTTGCTACGTTGCTCTGCCCAAATAGCAGCAGCAGCAGCTGCTGCTGCTGCGGCTGCTGCTGCTGCTGCTGTTGCTGCTGCTGCTGCTGCTGCTGAATGGAGTATATAGCTGTATGTTTGCTGCTGCTCAGGCTGCAGCAGGCGCTTGCTGCTGCTGTCTCCTCACCAGGAGACAGCTGGTTGTGGGTTCGTCTCCGTCGCCCGCAGCGCATGCATCTGCTGCAGCCAGCAGCAGCAGCAGCAGCAGCAGCAGCAGCAGCAGGAGCAGCAACAGGAGCAGCAGCAGCAGGA